AAGGAAGGAAAGGGTTCATCAAAAGGGAAAAAGGACATCAAAAGCATTTACAAGAATTAGAGGTAATTAAAAGGAAATCAAAAGAAATTAAGAGGAAATGGTCAGGAGTTAAAGGGAATCAAAAGGAAATCACAAGGAGGTAAAAGGAATTAGAAGGAATTACACGCTAACGTAGGGGTAGTTATTATGGTAAAATGTAAAAGCGTAGACGCTATTCAAGGAGGTGATTGAATTGAAGACCGAAAGAACAGACATTATTATTGCAGGTGGTGGCATTAACCAAGATTTCTAGTGTACTGGCTACCCTCTTTGTGGAATACGTTTTTGCAATATCTTAATAAGTTTATTAAAGGGAGTTGAAGAAATTAATGAAACATTTTCAATGGTAAATGCATTTTAACTGATTAAGGACCAAAAGAACAGACATTATTGCAGGTGGTGACATACATCAAGATTTCTAGTGTACTGGGCGACCCTCTTTGCCGAATAGAATATTGGAATATCTCAACAAGATTTCAGAAGGGAGTTGAAGAATGTCATGAAATACTTTCATTGGTAATCAACAGAGATCAAAAAGGAACTCAAAAGAAGACCAATAGGAACCAAAGTTAATTTTAAAAATCAATAAACAGAAATGAAGATAGCTAACTGTTTAAGTCATTTTTCAAGCATGAAAAGCATAGACGTTATTCTAGGGGTGTTCGTTTTAAAAACCAAACCAGAACAAGCGCGTAGACACTATTCCAGGGGTAATTATCATTGAAAAATTGAAAATCGTAGAAATTACTTAAGTAGGTTTTGCAATTAACTCAGGACCGAAAGATCATACATTGTTGCAGGTGTTGGCATTAGAATAGGTTGTTGCAATATTTTAGCAAGATTTTAAAAAGGGAGTTGAAGAAAGTAATGAATCACTTTCAATGGTACTCATTAGAGAGCAAAAGGAGTTCAAAAGAAAATTGTTTGGAATCAATTGTTTTTCTTCAGTGAGTTAAGTAGAAATCAGTTTTATAGCACTCAATTTATCGGATTTTCACAATGAAAAGCATAGACATTATTCTAGGGGGTGTTTTTTTTGAAAATCAATACCAGAACAAACATGTAGACATTTGCCTAGGGGTAGTTATTATTGAAACGTGTAAAGAGTAGACATTTTTCAATCATGTGTTTTGATGTAAAACCGAAAGAACCGACATTATTGCAGGTGGTGATATGTATGAAGATTTCAACAAATAAACAAAAACATTTAACAACATAAACTAGAAATGTCGGCAAAACATAGACTGAAAAAAAGAACGATAAATATCAAGAAACAGTGGAAATTTTGAAAAACAGAAACAACATAGCAAAAAAGGAAAAGAACAATCAACATAGAACAATTAAAAACATTTAAAAAATTGCAAAAGTCAAAAAATGTGCAGACATTAATCTGGGAGGGGTTGTTCATGTTTTCGAAAAGTGTGTGGACATTATTTCTGGAGGGATTCTAAGTTTGCATTCAACGTGTATTTGAAACATTTTCAGTTTGCTCAGCGGATATAGGAAGCAAAAGCTCTGGCAAGCGGGCCCAAAGCTTCAAAGCTTTAATCCGTTCTGCTGGAGCCTCAGCCTTTGCATGCCGGCAGGGCGGAGTGCACACTTGGCCAAACATAGGAGAGATTACACCCAACATGGGACAGGTGATCCAACATATCAGGAAGGCACATTTGAGGATTTGTGCAGACAGTTTTGCGGTTTTTAACAGATACTTTTGCATACACATGGTTTTCCACAACTTTGGTTCATAAGCTGAGAGGCCTAGAGATCTACACGTCTGGAGGTCTAGAATTTAGATCCAGAGAGATGAAGAGATCTGGAGGTCTAGGCCTCTAGAGCTCTTGGGGACACATGTAAGAGCACCGAATATGAGGACACATATATGAGCCCGCATCTCATAGCACACATATGAGAGCACACATGTAAAAGGACAGATATGAGAGCACACATTCTAGGAGGCTGAGATGCGTCCGGAGGTGTGGAGGCTGTAGAAGTCTTAGGTTTCTTTCAGTCTAGAGTTCTAGATCGAGGTGTAGAGGTTGCGAGAGCAAGCCAGCAAAAAAACTAAAGGCCTAGTAGGTCTGGAGTCGAGAGAGAGAGAGAGAGAGCACACGTATGAGAGCACGTATATATCAATATATATATGTATATGATACACACTTGAGACCACATGTATGGGCCCTGGGATATTCGGATATTCACCCTATTACCACAGCAAATGCAAATTGTTCAAACATGCAGAGATTTGCACCCGGTGCTTCATCATTGAAATTGCCGCACCAGGATAAAGACCGAAGAGCCCATCCGGGAGGAGGTGACCGAAACATGGCCAACGTTGGGGGGGATGTCCCGACTCTTGGGGTTCCTAAAAGGTCCCGAGTGAACGACTGGAGAGCAAGAATTGACCAAAAATAGCGAGGAATGATGAGGAAGCATCAGTTTCAACTTGTTTAGTGTCATGCAAGCGTGCACCATAACACAAGACAGATGCTGCCGGACTGGCCCGTGCAGTTGAGATCCAACGATTCAACAGTTCTGATCCGAAGGTGTGGAAAGAAAACCGTGGTTTTTTTTTTTTTTTTTTCTGGAGGAAAGAGTATCCATGCAAAGGACTAGGATAGAACACGATTGCACTCAGAAATGCAGGCCAAGATACAACTCGCTCCACCCCACCTGTTCAGTATAAAAGAAACTGAGAAATCGCCCATCGACCACTATACCAGAGGAAATGTGCCCAACACACGACTGTTTCTCAGCTGATATCAGTTGGCTGATCTCGCGGTTTAAATTGCGGCAAAGAGCATCACAATGATGCCAGAAACAAGCAGCTGAATCCAGCACCACCCTAAGGATAGTCTATAGACTCCCCCAACTGTGAATTGTCCATCCAAAAAATCCTTTGGGTGGTACTGGATTGAAATTGCTTTGGTACCTTACATTTACCGACTCCCACCAAAAAGTTGCGATCGCGATTGAGGATCTGGGGATCTGGGACTGTGAGACTCTTGAAGGTGCACTCTAAACTGGGCTGAGATGACAACGTTTTTACCACATGAAAGAATCAACCATCTCCAACTCAAAGAGGTCATCGAGAGACACCAACCAAAGGAAGGTCAGCTCTAGTCCTTTCATATGGGTTTGTATTGTAACAGGGACCCCCCCAATGGGTTGTGGTCTGTTCTCCTTCTTCCAGGGGGTCCTTCGGGGTCTCCCTATTCTACGTAATGCACACATTTTCTGGCTTGGAGGAAGAGAGTGGCCTCTACCAGCGAAAAGCAGGTCGAAGAGCACAGGCGAGCCCTGCTTGGCGGCATGAGGGCGAATGCCTACCCCTTCTCTTCATATTGGGGGGTTAAGATATTATCAAGAGTCTACATGATTGATAGACGTGGTAAGATGAGATCAAAGGATTCTGTTTGAAACAAACCCCTGGAGCATTTCGCTGACGATTCCAGGCTTCATTCATCGTCGAGACTGGCGCTCGACCACCCATGGAGTCTACATGGACTCCATGGAGTCTCCATGGACCAGAGATGGTGGTAAGACGGCTGAAGAATACTATGGCATACTTCTGGTAAACAAGACAGCGGAGACATCACCATCTCTGGTGTATTACGGCATAATACCACCGCTGTCTTTGTGGTAATATGACATAAGTTATGGCATACTATGGTTTACAAGACATTGATACTTTAAAAGTCTTTGTATATATTGTTTGATTATCTCTTTATTGTAGAAATTTGTTATATTTTCTCCGAGTACTACTACCGGGTCGACTTGTTCGGTGTTGCAATGAGGTGAGCACTGCTCGGTACGGGGCCTCAAGGTTTGTGCGGGGGCTGCTGTTCCAGGTCCTGTAAGGTATCTATAGTGGGGGGTCATTCCTCCATTCCCTCCATTCGTCGCACCAGTCAGCCATTCAGCCGGTACTCTCGTGGGTTGCCACCGAGTTGGCAACATCCATTGGCACGCTCGCGGTGTGGTGTGAGCGGCGCCATTTGAGCCACGGTCAAAACATGCGAAGACCACTTTAGTAAAGAGGGGTAGGTTTGTGCACAAAACCCTGCAAAACGATAAGGTCCACCTCAAAACCGATAACCCCAGCGCTGTATATGATCATAAGTATGCGACGAACTCAAAAAAACTATAAAACGATAAGGTCCAACTCAAAACCGATGACGTCCATTTTTTTGTTGAAGAAGAATAAGGAGTTTTGACCGTCCCTCATTTGTTTTTGGCCAGACCCAGGTTAATGAGCAGAAGCTGTTGTGATCCTTCTATCTCCAGTGGTGAACACCATTCCATCGGGTTGTAGCGGTCAGGGTCGATGTACTGTCATTGTACAACTACTGTCTACTGTAATTACAACATCAAAAAAACCGACCAACAACAGTTGCACTATTCGATCCAAGGCTTTTTGCAACCATCATAAAATGTTGGGAGAGATGGGTTCAATCGTTGAACAAGCTGCTTGTGACGCGCGCCATCTCAGGACCGAGCCACGTAAGGAGAAAAAGGAGGCTGGCCTACTGGGAGAGACGGAGCTCGCCTCAGGGGTGCACCTCCCGAGCTTCTTCGATCTAAGCACAATTGCCTGCTCCTGCTTGGGCAATGAATCGATGGCAAAGACACTTCATGGCTGTGCGGAAAGAACGTTTTGATCGTAGTTTTGTGGGTTGACAGAGATGAAGGATTGTAAAGTACTTTGTAACTTTGAATCTTCCAGATTGAGATGCTAGGAATGCTGTTCCAGCAAGAAAGCACTTCCGCACTAGCAAAGTTGCTCTAAGATCAATCCCTGCTACCACGCACACTTCATCGGCTGCTTTCCAAAGTTTAGGGGTCCTTTTTACGTTGATTGTGAAACAATCAAAGAAATGTATTGTTTCTACAGCAACTATAGGATCTGTATCCACTGGTTCTGCTCGACTGAGGAGCTTTTGCCGCCTGAGAACCTGGAAGAGATGTGGCACGAGCTTTTAGAGGAATCTGCAGCCTGCGACATTTTCAGGTTCAAAAGGTCCAGCAGGGCTGGGACGAACATTCCAGTGCCCATTATGCAATAGAACACCCTGGAAGCCCTGCGAGCGGGGGGATCACCAAGGTTTTTTGTTTAATGCCGTGTAAGCAGGTTTGATTTGGCGCTGCCGCTGCAATGTGATGGTGTTTATCCAGTTCTCGTTCTGGTTCCAACTTTTTGGGAGTAATGTGCAGTTGCCTTCACTAGGACACCTTGCCACCGGACAAGCGGCCTCTCTTACAGGCTGTGCTGGGAGGAGATCGGGAGGAACCTCCAGTCAGTTGGGCCCCAACAGTCGTCAATGGATTCGGGAAGATCATGGAACAAAACGTCGGGATCGACGCGGATGTGGCCACTCCGCCAAGGGAGATTACTCACATCTCAGGACGATGAATCATGACCCTTCACAGCTTCAATAAGTCACACCTGCACTTTGCACATGAAGTGAACCCATGGATGGCCTCAAGGAATCCAGGTTTTATGTGACATCTTGACTAGTGTTCTTTGTTGCATCCACTAGTTACTTCAGTTACATCCCCATGCTCAACTCCGCCTTCATCCACCATTTGCCAGGCCTCCTGGGAACGTGCGGAAAGCCCTTCCGAGCGCCAGGGATGCCTAGGATGAGGGGGAGAAACTTTTGGAAGTGCACGCGAGTTTACATCTCTAAAAGGCACGGAGGCAGGACTTTAGTTCGTCTGAAGAGCTTCTGTGCCAAGGAGCATGGTTTTGATTGAGTACATCATGTAATTTTTTAGAATGGGAAGAACATCGGACACAACGGTGGCAAGATTGGCAAGTGGGGACCCAAGCAATTGTTTCTATGATTCAATGATGTGTTGTTGTTGTTTTTAAATGTGATGTCATGCGCAACAAGATTGAACGTAGTCTGAGTGAGTTGCAACATCGATGATAGTAATGCGTTGCCTCGCATCACTAGCGCCACGCATCCTCCCTACGCAAGAGATAGATAAACTACCGGGAACCTCCTGCACACAACCTGGTTTGGTCGACCTTCTCAGGACGTTTTATTTCTTATCAATCAGAGAGACAGTAAATATGGAGGCTGTCAGCCAATTGCTGTGTGTGTGTGTGTCCACCCCTGGACAAAGGGTTTCCCTCGACCACTCCAATCAGGCAGGGGCGTGTGGCACTCTCGCCCTACCACACGCAACGAAGCTGTGGGCGAGAGTGGGAAGCAGGGCCCGATCAGCCCTGCGTACCTGCTTTTCTATCAAGCTGTGACTCCACTCTTCCTTTGGTTTGCTTCATGGTGTTTCCATGATACTTCCCCTAAACCCTCCTTTTGCCGCGTTGTCTTGCAGCTGAGCCGCGCCAACCGATCGTTCTGCAGACTGACCAACAACTTGTTGAAACACCTACAAGTCTTTCAGACTCTCCACCATGCAGTTCCATCACCTTCCTTCCCATCGGAGAAATTGAGTTTAACTGAAAACCAGTGTCAGAGTGTGTCTCGCTCAGCCGTCCCACTCGGGTGCTGAGTGTGATCCCCGTCACTGGGGCGCCGATTTTGCATGGGAAAGCAACAACCACAACGCACCACCACTCACTGGACTCTCACAGGAAGTCACCGACACCCTCACCGAATCAACTGACACACTGGCCGCCGGGCCAAAAAACGGTTCTTGTCGAATACATCAGATATCAGGTTTCGGATTTCGGATCGGCTAAGTATTCACATGCCTGCGCTGCTAAGTATTCACAGGCCGGATGAATTCATCATGCACAACCCCCCACCCCTGAAAAGTAGAGCCTACCTGTACAGGGTTCCACTCCAACAGCCGATATAGTGTGTCCATGCTTGACTGCTTCAAGGCTCAAAGAGCAAGAGGATAAGACTCTGCGCATAAAAGACACTAGCGGTCTGCACCTCTACCGTGTACGCCCTAGTCACTCTTTCAGTGGTAGCGGAGCAGTGATCCTGGAAGACCCAGGTGAGCTCCTTTCCTAGGCATAGACTTGCTAGTGGGCAAACGGCCATGGATTGGATTGACGACTGGGAAGAGCCTGATGCGGATGTGGCTTATGAGCCAGCAGCCTACGTGAATAGGCATGTGAGAAGAGAACCAGCAGCGATAGCTATGACAACACAGGTCACTACAAAGGTGCCCCCATCTTATGATGGAAAGACTTCATGGTTTTCCTATGAGGATGCCATAGACGATTGGTGTGATATCACCGAGCTGGAAGATGAGAAGAGAGGACCAGCATTGAGAAACAGATTAGAAGGAGAAGCAGCTGTATACAAGCGTGTTTTAGACAGAGATGCATTGAAGGCAAATGATCCACCAGGAGCCGGCGTAGAATATTTCAAACGAGTACTACGACCGTATTTCGTGAAAGGATCAACCAATGTATTCCTGTATAGGTTCATGCAATTCGTGCGCTTCAATCGAGGATCAGCTGACATGATGAAATGGATGACAAGATTCCAGATTTTACTCCAAAGGCTTATGAGCAGTTGGATGGACATGTTAGAACCAGTCACTCAAGCACATCCACAAGTCCTAGCTCAGATGCAGGCAGATGCAGCGTTGACTGGAGTAGCACCAACGGCAGGAAATCATGCGGACCATCAATGGCAATATGAGGACTTTTCATCAGAACGAATTTCCTCTAGGAGAAAATCTGATTGCCTTACTCATGCTGTCACTTGCAGATTTGTCTCAGGACCAGCGGAACACTTTGACTTCCTTGATGACTCATCGTGGCAGGGTCCTGCAGCAATACACCACAACAGAGTTGAGGACAGTATTCATTGAGATGTTCTGCACAACAAAGACTTCAGTAGACAATCCTTTGATGCAGCCGACAGGTGCTGGAGGTAGAAGATCATTTCTTGTACTAGACGAAGGAGAACTCGATGGTACATTTGGCTATTGGGCCGAAGATGAAGAAGATGGAACTGAAGGATTTCTAGATGCCCTGGACGATGTCTTTTGGGTATATGATGATCAAAACTTCTCGTGGTTCCAAAGGAGATTCCAAGGAAGAAGAGCCAGAAAAGGCAAAGGAAAAGGTAGAAGAAAAGGAAAAGGTAAAGGAAGATCAGGCCGCAGATTCTTCAGACCTCGTGGAAAAGGAAAAGGAAAGAGACGAGGTAAAGGCCATTATGCTGATGAGCAACAGACAACATATCCAGAAGAGTATTTTGAAGAGAATCCTTATGAGGACACTTGGGAGTCAAACCAAGTAGCATATGATGCCAATGACTTTTGGCAACAGCTTGAAGAAGCATGGTTTTCCCACAAAGGAAAAGGAAAAGGCAAGAGAAAAGGCAAGAAAGGAAAAGGAAAAGATAAAGGAGATGGCAAACAAGATGCAAACTATGCAAATCAACAACAGCCACGTTCCTTGCCTGCACCTTCAAGATCTTCACAAGCATCAGGAGGTCAACAAGGTTTCTTTGCACATTGTGTGACAGCAGCAGCTGAAGTCCATGACAGTGAGGTGAACTTGCTGTCAGGCATGATGACCTCATGTCAAGATGAAGCTGACTGCGCGGTCAACAATGGTGGGACGATCTTCAATGGCATGGGTGCCCCTGTGAGGTACTCTTTGTCAAAGGAGATGCTCACAAAGGCTCCTGATGGCTTTGCGCTTATGAGCGCTGAGGAAGAAGTGAAGGAGATGCAGGCCATTTCATTTTTGACTGAGAATCGCTTCCCGCCGACTATTGCAATCCTGGACATTGGATGCACTAGAGCTATGGGATCAAGGCGAGCAGTCGACCATTTTTGCAACTATGTCGAAAATCACCCAGATTGTGGATTATGGTACTCTTTTGAGTCTACCAAGAGCAAGTTTTACTTTGCCAATTCCCAGAAGGCTACTTGCTCTCAGAAACTGGTGATTTACATGTATGATCGTGCATGGACGATCCACCATACAGAGTTCGACATAGTGGAAGAAGGAGAAGTCCCTTTGCTTATGAGCTTGCCACAGATGAGGAACTTAGGCTTTGAACTCAGGCTGACACCTCAACATGCTTATCTGACATCGGTGCCTCTTGGTATCAAATATTTGGAGTTGAAGGTTGCAGCCAGTACTCATCTTGTCTTGGACTTCCAAGATATTGCATGGTATCTGTCTGACGTGAATTTTCAGACTCGGCGCGAGAAGAGTTTTTACTCTCACTTCACTCACTATGAATATGGTCATATTTCTGTTGATCACAAAAGTGATGAAGATGTAGCTGAACATGCATATCCTGTGGTTGACTACTGGGAAGTAGATGTTCACAAGAGAGAACTGATACGTCACCACAAGGATTATAGAAAGATTCTTTTTCCAGCAACTAAGTCCTGTCCTGTAGACACTGACTTACTGGAAGACTTGCGACTGACAATCATCAAGAAGAAGAAAGGTGGAGAAGAGATCAAGAAGCAAGATGATTGGCGCAAGGCAAAATGGAAGGACCTACAAATTGGCTATGAATGGCGTGGTAGAACAATTTTTAAGTTCAAGCCAGATGCCAAAATTCCAGATCTAAAGATCAGGAAGGCTGGCATTGAGCACCGTGGCATTGGTGATCCCGATGCAGTGGTGCGCTCCTCCTCAGAGAAGGTTCCCATTGCAAAGGACAGGGAACCAGGCTTCTCGTCAGAGAAGGAAGGTGCACCATCAAGTGCCGCGGAAAAGCCCGTGCCGCCAAAGTTTCGGTATACTTCCAAGGGTTTTGATCCATTCTGGAAAGGACACAAGTCGAAACCATCTGAGCCTCAGAATGATTTAAAGGGTGATGATCTTGAGGAGTATGCTCCCTCAGAACCACCTGAGAGGCCAGAAGGTGAACTTGTAGAGATTCCTAAAGCATCAAAAGGACCATCAAGTGATAAACATGAACCACTTGAACCAGGTGATGGCGCTCTTGAGCCTAGGCGGATTTCAATCCCATTACCTGGTAGTGAAGTTGTTGCAATGACACCGGCATATAGGAAGATGTTACAGAGACTGGAGGACAAGGTAGAGCTTTATAAGCTTCATGTGAAGCACTACCATATGAGTCCTACTCAGTTTCGTAGACGTGTTTCTATGTTGAAGCTTCCTGACTCTGTTTTAGAGAAGTATGAATCAGTTGTCAGGAACTGCCGTGTTTGTAACACTTCAGTGGCACCTCCGCCACGAGCCAGAGTCTCCGGTATAAGAGCTTCATGTTTTGGTGATGTTGTTTTTGCTGATCATTGTGAGGTTGAACTTCACAAGAACAAGTATATCATCTTACTTGTTCTTGATGGTGCCACAAATCTTCTCTGGGCTACGGCACAGAAAGACCTCATAGATCAAACCACCATCCAAGCATTGAGGCAATGGTCTGATGAGAACAACTGTGTTCCAAAGGCCATCGTAGGAGACGAAGCCTTTTTCACCGATGCTTTTGTTGAATACTACAGGTTCCATGGTATACAACAATGTCCTTGTGGGCCAAGAACTCCTTGGCCGAACCGAGCAGAGACAGCTGTACGTTTGTTCAAACGTATGTGGCATGTTATGAAGGTAGATCTGGAGGACCCACGTTTTCGTGGTGTTACGGTCAGAGAAGTGGTCAAGAAGGTAGTTTGGGCAAGAAATTGTCAGTTGACTATC